TTTCAGATTGTAAAAGTGTTTTTTTTTAGTGATATTATTCAATATTACATCAATATATAAACTGATCACTCATTTTGTGACCACCTTAGTTTCTATACATTTATATTCCAGAGAATGTAAATAAATCTAAAAGACATGCTTGTGTTCCTAATTAGTATTTGATAGACAAACAAGAAATTATAATGTGGATATAAAGTCGGGGTTCAATTGTATATTACAATCAATATATAAACTGATCACTCACTTTGGGACTACCTTAGTTTCTATACGTTTATATTCCAGAGAATGTAAATAAATCTAAAAGACATGCCTGTGTTCCTAATTAGTATTTGATAGACAAACAAGAAATTATAATGTGGATATAAAGTGAGGGATCAATTGTATATTACAATCAATATATAAACGGATCCCTCACTTTGTGACCACCTTAGTTTCTATAGATTTATATTCCAGAGAATGTAAATAAATCTAAAAAATATACCGAATCAGTATTTGATTAACAAACAAGAAATTATAATGTGGATATAAAGTAGGGGATCAATTCTATATTACAATCAATATAAAAACTGATCACTTACTTTGTGACCACCTTAGTTTTATTTACATTTATATTCGAGAGAATGTAAATAAATCTAAACGACATTCCTGTATAGCAAACCAGTATTTGATCGATTGCTTGATTCGTTTTCTAAGGCTTATCGACCCTTTCGAGTTTACTTAAAGCAAGAAAATATTTTTAGGTTGTAAGAATACAGGTTCTAATAATTAACCCATGGCTGGGGGATAACATGTGAATTCATTCCTAATCAGGATTTGAGATGCAAACAAGAAATTATGTGGATATAAAGTGGGGGATCAATTCTATATTACAATCAATATATAAACTGATCCCTCACTTTGTGACCACGTTAGTTTTTATACATTTATATTCTAGAGAATTTATATATATATATGCATAACTAATCAGTATTTGAATAAGTGATTCGTTTTTTATGGCTTATCAACTGTTACCTGAACGAAGAAAATATTTTTAGAATTTTTTTTAAGATAATAATGATTTCGTAATACGAGTCTTACTAATTAACCCATTATTGGGGGGGAGAAGATGTGGGTTCATACATAATCAGTATTTAATAAACAAGAAATTGTAATGTGGATACAAACTGGGGGATCAATTCTATAGCCCACCCCCACCTCCAAGTGGCAAGTGGTTAATTTGAAAAAAAAAAGTTATCTAATTCTAGCTCCCATATTAGCAAGTTGTGAAATTCAAAATTTTCTAATTTTAGTTTGCCGAAAGTAACCCCACAAAGTTACAATTGGGGAAATTCAAAATTTTATAAATCTAGTTTCCCGGAAGTAGGACTCAAAATGGCAAATTGTGAAATAAAAAAAATAAAAAAAATTGTAATTCTAGATACACAGACGTTGACTCCCAAAATGGCCAATGGGGAAATTCAAAATTTTGTATTTGTAGCCTCTCGAAAGTAGATACTTACGTAGTTATTTTCTAAGCCCGGCTCAGATGTGGCACAAGGTCGAAAGTAACTCACTACTCAGTCGTAATTGTTCTAGCGAGACAAGCTTTCTAACCATTACGGCAACTCGAGGTGCCCTAGACACTTATGTAGTTATTTTCTAAGCCCAGCTTAGATGTGGCACAAGGCCGAAATTATGGGGCACCCCGTGAGGATCGAACTCACTACTCAGTCATAATTGTTCTAGCTAGACAAGCTTTCTAACCATTACGGCAACTCGAGGTGCCCTAGACACTTATGTAGTAAATCGTGAAATTCAAAATCTTGTATTTATAGCCTTGCAAAATTATCCCCTCCCAACAAAAAAAAACTGGTGAAATTCAAAATTTTGTATTTATAGCCTCCTCGATATAGACCTCAAAATTTCAAGTTGTGAAATAAAATATTTTGCAATTCTAGCTGCCCGGAAGTGGACCCCAAAATAGCAAGTGGGGAAATTCAAAATGTTTTTGTAGCCTCTAGGTGGTATATAATGAAATTGAAAAAATCTTGTATTTATAGCCTCTCAAAAGTAACCCTAGAGTTGTGAAGTTAAAAAATTTTAACGATTCTGGGCTTTCAAAAAACAAAATCGAAGGAAAACACAGCGTCACTATCGCGTAACGAAATTCCAAATTTAATAGGCTTTGAAAAAGTTCAATCTGTCAGTCATTCGTCGAGAAAGCCTTTTTGTCCCAAATGAGCCCGGCTTTTCTACAAACCTGTTTTTTTTCCCTTCTTTTTATTCTTAATATTTTCGATTTGTGTCTTTCAGATTGAAATCCATCAAGTGATGTCCTTGAAGGATGTGTACAATCCGGACAACATGAAACTGATTGACATGAGACGCGTCGGAGCATACAGTCATGGCTGGATTATATTCACAGTGGTGAAGGCGGTTAATTCCTGGGTGAATGACACTTCGCCAAACTACGGTTAGAAATCAAACTTGTATATTATAAATATATATATATATATAAATG